CCTCCCCCCCCTCCCCCCCCCCGCCCTCGCTCACACACGCACATTTTGTAAATTCCAGACCCTGTAAACGCAAGACCACAGCTTCTGAAAACACCTGCAACTCGTGGCCCCCGCCCCTAACCTCAGGGTGTCAGACGAGCCACTCCATCCCGCAGCCCCCTAGGGCAATCACACGTCTCTGCCCGGGATTCAGTGAATGGCTACGATCTAGTAATGCACGTGCCAGCTGTTAAAAACACAGGGCAAGGTGGCACTGCAGCACTGCCCCCTCGTATTTCAGTTAACAGCGAGAATCCCAACTTCCAGCACTTTGTTAAATGAGTCGCGACTCATGCGTGGAGCGAGCAGGTCTCCCAGACAAACTCAAGAAGGGAGATTTCGCCATGGCAGGACACACAAGCTGGCAGCTAACGGGTGAAATCCAGGGACCAACCCTCTTCAAGGAGTTTCTCTTTGCCCCCCCCCCCCAATCATTTAACTGCTAGCAGTCCTAATAAGATATGGAGAGAGAAGGGAGGAGAGGCGAAAGAGCTCGGGTCAGAAGGGTGAGGCTGACACCTGGGGGCGGTTAGATGGGGGCACCCCTGCAGGGGCAGGGCTGCACGTGGACTTGAAGGGGGTTCTGTTTACATCCGGCCTGCCTAGACCCCAGGAGGTGCTCAGCTGCCCTGGTTGCCTGGCCCCCGCGCCCACCTCTGAATTCTCGGTCCCGGACCCCAGCCCTCTCTACCTTTAGGAGACCGCAGTCCGTCTAAGAAGCACGCGGTGACACGTCCATTGAAAGAGCCTCCACATGGAAAAAGCTCTGGCCGAAGGACCTGGCGCTCGGACCGAGTGTCTGTTCCCTTTCTTTGCCTCCTTCTTCTCCCGGTGCCTGTCGCTTAGTCTCTCTTCTCACGCTGGGAACGGCGTCCCGGGACCGGCCGAGGAGGAAAGGGGCGGCGGGGCTCAGAGGCGACGAGGCTGGCTCCGCTGGGGAACGGGCGCCAGCGCGAAGTAGGGAGCGCAAGTTATTCTCTCCCTGCAAGTTCAAGAAGTCTCCAGCCAAGTGCTGACACACAGCAGCGCGCAGGGGGAGGAGTGCGGGGCAGGGAACGGAAGGGTAGGGAGTAAGGAAAAGCTGGTGCTGTCGTCGTCCTTAGGAACCAGCGCCCGCGGGACGCGTGGCCCCGCGCGGGGCCGGCTCCGGGACTCGAGGGGCGAGGGTCTGGTGCTCCACGCTAGATCTGCCGCGGCCCATGGCTCGGGGCAGCCATCCTGGGCGACGCCGGATTCGGGAAAGGGCACAGCGGCGATCTCGGTGCCAGGCCAGCTGCCCCCCCGCATCACTCTGCCTTACTCCAGCGCACCCCCATGAGGGGGCCCGCCCGGAAAAACCCGCCGGGCCTCCGGCGCCCCGTCGTCCTCGGGCGCATTCTCCGGCGAGTTGAGCCGAGTCCCGGGCTGCCAAGGCGAGTGGTCGTGCTCTCCGCTCGTCCTCCTAACCCTCGGGCCAAGTGCCCTATGAAATGGCCAGCGTGGGGTCTGATCACACCTCGGCAGGCGCGGCCCGGGCCCTCGGTCCCCGGCAGGAGGTGCTCGGCATCGCGACTCAGGCTCCGCTCCGGACTCCGCGGCGCTCCGCCC